GGAGCCGAGGGGCACCCACCTGCAGGGCATTGATAAGCTGCCGGTCCTCCTGGCTGGTGAGGAACAAGGGGGTGATGCCCGCATCGGAGAGCTTCAGCACCGCCTCTCTGAGCTGTGGCGATGCTCTCGTGAGCTTATTGCTGAAGAAAACGGCCACTTTCCTCATCAGGAACCCGCTCCGCACGCGTTTAAACGTGTTTCTGGCCACAAAGGACATGGCCGTCTCCAGACTCTGTTGCTTGGATGTCAGAGCCACCTGAAGGTTCTTGATCTGCTCCAAGAGGGCAGACTTCCTCTTGGAATCAGCAAACCGGATCTCAGTGGTCACCTCGTTGTTGTAGGTCACCACAGCCACGCGGGCTCCCCGGGGGCAGTTGCTCTCGGCAATGGTCAGATCACCCACGATCTTCAAAAGGACATCTCTCATCCGGCTGAATGTGTCCTGGGTGACCCCCTCAGAGGTGTCCAAGGCAAAGGCTAGTTCCGTCGGGAAGACGGGGCATTCGAGGGGCCCTATGGGAAGTAGGGATTGCCATGGACATGCTTTACTTACTGGAGATGAGTCTTGGTTTTACTCAGGAGGAGAAAGCCGGACACCAGAGTCGACTTACCGTAGCAGCAAGCTATGAAAGAAAGAGAGAGATGGGTGAAGGCCATGATTACCCAACAAGAATTCCAAATGTAAGAATACAGATTCAGCACCGAGGAATAAAAAAGCCGGGTACTTACGACATTTATCTCTGATGCTCTGGACAAGTCCGCATTGCTGTAGAGGGAGACAAGAGATGTGTTGAAGGGGAGGAGAGGGAGGCTTACAAAATAATGGTGCATTTTAGACCCAGGCAACTTACATCGATAGAGTCCCCTCTGTTTCCTTTGTGACCCTGTAAAATCAAGGGAAAAAAGGCTGAGAAACGGCCAAGAGTATCAGACACGGAATTTAAAAGAATCATCCACGGTTCCCATGTCGCCACGGAAGAAGGTGGATTGTGACTAACATAGGTCCTTCAGAATCTCTGACTCTCTCTGTGAACTTGAGTCTGCTGCTCAAAGAGCCATCGGGAGAAGATGTGGAGAACAAAGTGTGTCCCCTGTGAGTCACTGAGAGCGTTTGAAAGGACACCCAACCCTGAGACACACATCAGTATAAGTCACACATCCGAGCCCGGTCGCAAACATTGCTTCTCCAGAGAAGTGCCGCCTTGTACTCTGGTGCTTGTGCATCCTGTTGAGAGAAAGCGCAAACCTTCACCTTCATCTCTAAAACATCCCATCTGGATTCTTCTGACAAGTGATTCTGGAAATAGATCTACAGCAGCACCTAGGCCTCATACATGACTGCTCTAAAGATCAAGAAGTCACTCTGAGCCATGTGGGCTTTTTCATGGACCTACTCCTGCCAACTGGATCTCCAATCAATTCTCAATCATGTAACTGGCTTAACATTCTCCATCAAACACCCACCTAACTCAGCCCTTTTCTCCTGAGCACAATCAAACGACCCCCTACACAATAGCTGAATGATGGGAGCAACCACCATGCTCCTCTGTGGAGGAATGGGTCAATAAGTTCTGGTACATGCATGCGATGGAATACTATGCACCCCTTAAAAAGCATGGCGAAACAGTCAGGCACCTCAGGACATGGGCACATTTGGAAGACATCACGCTCAGCAAAGTCAGTCACCCTCATAAAGATGAACTGCGTAAGACCACTAATATGTATACATGAGAAATCGTTTTCACGCCAAAAGAAGCAGATGTTGGAAACTGCAGGGAGGCCAGGAGGAGGGCAGAGAGAAAAGTGAAGAGGAAAAGAATTGTCGTTTCAAGATGTGATTGATCCAGCTTTTTAAAAAAAGAACAAACTGGCTCTATAACCCTTCCTTCCAAGGGTGGTTGTTCACTTCCTATGGTATCTTTCCCATTCTCCCTTGAACCTCATCAAAGCCAACATGGAAGATAAGACAAACTTGCAGCATTCAAACTCGGGCACGGATTATAAGGAGATGGTGGAAGGACGGCAGAGGGTGGAAGCCTGCCTTCTGACGGCAGGGCCATTTGTGGTTTTAAAACAGTGAATCAGTAGCCCTCTGGGGGATTTTAAAAACCAGAGGAAGTATTTTCCAAGCCACAGACTGGCATGATTAGACTACTTCTTCAACGTGAAAGCAAGAGCTATTTCCACTTGCTCTCTCTCTTCCTCCTGTAAACAAGGCCAGACCAGAACACTAGAAGGGCAAATTACAATACACCCTAGACGCCGGAGTGCCACAAGCATTTTTTTCTTAAGTATCTAAGCCTCAGAAGTCCTCTCCTGACTGTAGAATTGAAAGGGAAGTGGTTAAGATAAACAACCCAGCAAGAGTAGGAAGCAGTGCCACGCAGGCCGGTCACACAACGCAGACTGTAGACAGTGGAAGTTCTCTGAGACCACGTGTAAAGTCGTCCAGCCTGAGGAGGGTCACTTGGAACTGAGCAGGTACTTACAGCTGGTCCTGGGTAGCCAGGGTCGCCCTTCTGTCCACCTGTCCCTGGAGGCCCGGAATTTCCCTAGAGAGGATAGAAGAACATACATTGCTGAACTGGGGCAGACAACATAAAATTCTCGAATCCTGACATTGCAAGGGATGAAAAGGTGATCTATCTCATGTAGCTTCTCCCACTGCCATGAGGAACCTTCCAGGGAGCTCAAGTGCCCCCAAACTCAAGAGTAGGGTCATAAATCGTATCATCTGACATCGAAGAAGGGGTTAGTATCAGAGCCTAAATTGTGAGACTCCTGTTTGCAGAAGGCTATGGGTGACAGCAGGAGTCCAGGGTTCATGTGTGGAAACCACGCAGGAAATAGACCTCCGGGGATCTCCCTCCACCCACAAATGAGGGATGGGAGGAAAGTGGTTACTAAGCAGAGTGCTTGGGTGAGATGAGTAGAACAATTCAAACTCTTTCACTTGATCGCTGCTCTGATGCATGCTGGACCTGATCTGGTTTTCAACATTGTCTGTGTTTTTGTTTTGTTTTTTGTTTTTTCATATTAGGGTTTACCTCAGAAGTGTTGTGTTTTGGTACATGAAACCCAGGACTGATGAATCTGTAGCGACAGCAAGCAGAATAAGGGTTTGGGGGGATGGGGGCCTGTGGTGGGGGTGGGTAAAAGGGAGATTATGTCAAGGAGTCCAGGAAGGAAAAGAATGTTTGGAAACTGACGGTGGTAGCAATTGTACAATACTGCTTGATGGGATTGAACTATGGAATGATATGATATATGTATTAACTCCCAATTAATAATAAATTTTAAAGAAACAAGAGTAGGAACAAGCCACCTTAACAGAGCTGATTCATATCCCCACATCAATGCTTTCTGAGAGGTAGAGTACAACAGGGGCTTGCCCAGGAGCCACTGATGAGATGATCTATGGGTGCACGAGAGATTAGCTAACTAGGAATTAATTAGGCAATTGGTCCATGTAGATAATTAACCCATGTGTTCAAACTCTACGTAAAGAGTATATGATCTAATTTTGTATCCACACTGAATAAGCAAACAGAATACTTATGAAATTTGGGGGGGGGGGTGTCAAAACTAGATTTTAGGATAAAACCAACTATTAGCAACTTTGACCTATATCTAAACTGCAATTTGTTCATTTAAAACTCTGTGCCAATCCCTAAGACCAGAACAGGTAGATGATGCCTGGCTACCAGTGTAGACCTGCTCTGAAGCCGGTCACACCAGCTGGTCCTGGCTAGAACTTAGGGAACACAGCTCACAATCCTAGGAGAGACCTGGCTTATAGAGACTCGTGGCTCTCCCACAACTATGGCCTTCCCAGGCCTGGAACGAAACTCATCCCGATGGTTCAACTTTCAGCCACACGACAGAAAGGCCACTGGTCTGACAGGGAAGCCAGCACTCCTCAGATAAACCAGCCACAGGAGACGAAAAGGACAGGGTTCTCCCAGGGAGATGCTCAGATAGCAGGAAGGGAGAGGGAAAGAGGATGGAGGGAAATGGGAACAGGGGGGAGGTGGAGAGGGTGCTCGGGATCGCAACCAACGTCACAAAGCAAACTGTGTGTGTACTGCTGAATGGAAGCCTGATTTCATCTTCAAACGTTTGCTCAAATTTCAAAAACATCTTTTAAAAACGAAACAGAAGTTCATTTTTACAAGATGGGGGTCAGAAGAGGCTCACACATTCTTCAAAGGATGAGTAAGCATCGAGTGAAGAGATTAGAGCCAAGTGCCGCTTCTGGAAGAGGGGTTTTATCCGGAAGAGGGTGAGGGGCAGGCCTGGTTGGCCTGGGAGCCTTGGACGACCAATCGTGAGCAGCTTTGATGTCTAGTTAAATCCTGTGACCTCACTCTCTGGTGAGCCTGGCCCTTGTGCCTGCAAGGACTTGCAGCATTTCCCTTTCTGGCATCGTGATGGCGGTGGGGGAGGGGTGTCAGCCCTAGGGTTGACTCCTAAGGGTCGATAGATTAAGGGGACTCAAAGCCTCCCTATAAGTATGGCTGAGGAAGAACAGACTCAGACCACGGCTAAGAGGTTGGCTTCTGAGGATGTTAGTTTAGGATTGCTTGGATTCTCCCCAGACTACCATTGGACAAGTTCAAGGTGAAGAAGAATGATGGTCAGAGACCCATGGAGACATCAACGCTCCATCTTGTTGCCTATCAGGCTCTTGCATCCTATGTGCAGCCAAGATCGGACTGACTTACCCTTCGGCCTCGGATCCCTTTGGGGCCTGGTGATCCATCTGTCCCAGGCTCACCGGAGGTGCCCTAGGAAGAGAGCCACAGAGGGACATGTGAAGTTTTGGGAATGAACAGGCCTAGCAGAGGGTCCTGGGCAGTGCTTGTCCCAGGGCCTCCAACTTTCATTCACATTTCCTCCGGGTTATGGGTCCTTTGCTGACATGTGCAGATTCAGCCTTATTTTGCGGCTGATGTGAGCTGCCCTTGAGTCAGCGCTGACTCACAGTGAACCTGAGCCCCACAGGAGTGGACTGTGAGGATCCCTAGGGTCCTCGTGGGCTAATGGTCATGGAGTGAGCGACCAGGTCCTGCTTCTTAGTCTGGACGCACCAAGGAGACCTCTTACACACCATGGCTGGCAACACACACACCTACACCAACAGACAGGTGGTAACTGTCCAGGCGGGGCATCGGCAAGGAATCAAACTCAAGCCCCCAATCCAGAAGGAGAGAACTCAGCCACCCAATCACCACGGCCCTCCAGTCTTAGTTTACTCAAACCCATAACATACAGATCCTACCCTTTTAGCAGTCAAGAGATCAAATCAGGGGTTGCTTTAGGCAAATGTGGTGCAGAAGACCTCTTTGACATGTTAAAAAGCAACGCTATTACTTTGAGGACTAAGGTGCACCTGAGCCAAGCCGTGGTATCTTCAATTGCCTCATAGCATGTGAAAGTTGGGCATTGCACAAGAAAAAAACGGAGGAAAATCAATGCATTTGAACTATGGTGTCGGTGAAGGATATTGAAAGTACCATGGACTAACAAAAGAACCAACAAATCTGTCTTGGAGGAAATACAGCCAGAACGCATCTTTAGAGGCAAAGACGGTGAGACTCCCTCGCCTATGTGGACATGTTGGGCAAGTGCTGGGTAAAGCAGAGGGGCAGCAAAGAGAGGAGGCCCATCCGTGAGATGTCTTGAGGCAGTGGCCGCACCAATGGGCTCACAAAGCAGAACACTTGTGAGGCTGGGGCCGAACCGGGTGGTGCTTCCGTCTGTTGGACACAGGGTGACTATGAGTCGGCACCGACTGGACAGCCCCTAACTACAACACCACTGTACACTTTAGGAAATGCTTCTGTGGCAGTGCAAATTCATTCAATCCTCACAGTCACCCTCGAGGAGGAAGCTGTGTCTCCGAGAGGTCAAGGTCTTTTCCAGGGTCACCGATTTGTGACTGGCAAAGATGCAGCCAAAGCCAACATATTCAGATTTCCTGTCCGTGAGCTGACCAAATTTATCCCCAAACTCTTCTACCACTGGGGAATCTTTACCTTTGGCCCTGGGTATCCAGGGAATCCTCTTTCTCCCTAGAAAAGAGAAACAGACAAATGAATGACACAAGAGTCAGTCTCACTTTCGATTCCGCTAAAATGCATTCATCTTGAGAAGATAAACATGTGTACAGAATCACGCAGGAAACTGCTAACACACGATTACATGGACGGAAGTAATCCTTTCAACTACAACACGTCCAAAATGGTCCTCGGCGCATCCTGGCAGTGGTGTGCCCAGTCTGAGAACGCTGAGCAGATACCTACCTTCTTGCCTCGGCGTCCTTCGCTGCCCACTCCATCACGCCCATCGTCTCCCTGAGAGAGGACAGAGAGCGTTACTGTGAGCCTCCGCACTGGGACAAGCCACAGTGGTGTCTGCCTAAGGCCATCTCAGCAGAGCCGGTGTCAAGACCCTGGAATGTTCCAGGATCAAATCCAGAGATAGGGGCACTTCCTGTTCCTACCTGTCCTCTAGGCGGAAATCAAGAGCATCTCTCCAAAGGAGGGGTGGGAAGGAGCAAACAGTGCTGCTGGACTCAAAATACAAAGAAACGGCTCCCCAGTAATAAAGATGCCACCTTAACGGCTCAGCGATCCAGACACAGGGCTCCAGCCATGAAAGACGGCGTCGAGGCCACTTTGATGTGCTCCCTCTATGACTCTTCAGAGAACTCTGGGATCCATCCTGGGGCCCCTGCTGAGTCTTCAGGGCTGGGATCCGCCCCTCTTCCCTGTGTCCTTCCTGGTGAAGGTCTCTGGACTGCTCTTCTTCCCAAACACCCCACTCCCCATGCCCAGTAATCTGCCCGTCACACAGTTTCATGTGAGGTTTCCAGAACTGGACACCACCTGTGATTTCCCAGGAACAGAAGACTAGATGTTAGACATACATCAATGTCTCTAAAACGTGTGTGAAACAAGGTATTCAGCCCATTGACGGTTGCTTGTTATCATGTGTCTCGTTTTCAACGTTGTTGAGAATTCACATACCAATCCGGCAATGATTGTCAGTTTTAAATGAACATCAAAAGTTCTAAAACTCTTGTCAGCTGTTGCCCCCAAATTTATAGAAACAAGATCAGGAAAAGATTTCTTTTACTGAGTTGGCTACAGTTTCATTTTTAAGTCTACTTTATTCCCCACCCCGACACCCCTTCTGCTTCTTCGTAAGCATCTGAGGCCCAGTCAGCTGATTTTTGTCATGAATAAATCAGACTTAGCCTAAAACAAGGGCACTCTTTGGCCAATGCGGACTCTACCTGTGGCCCTGGCAGTCCAGGACTTAACGTAAAAGAAACAGATTTGGAATTTTTTTCCTCTAGTGGCTGAGAAGTTACAGACTCCAGAAAAAGATGTCAAGCCTTTGTGTTTTCATGACCATCTGGTCTATTTCTCTAGGTTTTAGGTGTGGGAACTCCTTCTAGAAAAATTCCCAATATACGGTAGATTTCTCCTTCCATCACACACATGCGGCTTACAGCATCATTACTGAGAACCTACAGAAATTTGAACTATATGTAAAATGTTTTCTTCAAGAGGGATGGCTTCAATCTGGACTTCAACTTTATCAACTGTACATTCATTGTCCAGAGGCAGGGGCACTTCTCTCTGTTCACACACGCTGCCCGTCACGCCCGCAGAACCACAGCAGGGCCCAGATAAAGGGGGCACACACGGCAGTAAGTCGCCATGTTCACTTACTAGTAACAATAAAGGGTGGGGGGCGGGGAGCAGGGACTATCATGGCCCACGAACCAGCCCCTTCTTGAAATGACACTTATTTTCAAATGTATTGGCTATTGACGCAGTGGCAGGTCTCAAAGTTTTCGATCCTGCCCCCCAGGCTGCCAGTGGAAAGCAGCCCTAACCACACCCACTGCTGCAAAGCCGATCCTGGCTCACATCGACCCAGTAGGACACAGTAGAACCAGCCCGCGGGGATGCCGAGGCTAGACCCTGTCCAGTCTGGTCACCCACGCGGGCAGTTCTACTCTGCCCTGTGAGGATGGCTAGGGGGTGGAGTCAACGCCATGACAGTGAGCTTGGTCGAGTCTTAATCTTTATGGAAACAGACGGCCACAGCTTTACCCCATGGAGAGGCGGGTGCCATCTCAGCCACGACACCACCAGGGCCCCCAACGCTACAAGATACAAGGCTCAAGCCTTCTCTGTGTGGCACCGCCCCGGAGTGCAAAGACACAAAGCTAACCCCAAGCAGGGTCTCCTCCCCTCACTCCTTGACCCTCTCGACAAGACTCAGAAAGACCCGGAGCCCCAGCGCATCTCAATCTTACCGTCTCCCCTCGGGGGCCGAGGTTCCCAGTGCCACCCTTCGGTCCAGGCTCTCCGGGCTCACCCTAGGAAGAAAGACAACACTGAGATCCCCGTGGTCCCCGGCTGGTTTCCAGCCTTCTTCCATTCTGGGTGACGTCACTGGAAGGGCCTGTATGTGTATTAGGTTTTAACGTAATGTTTTTTTTAATTGCGACATTCATAACTGGATGTCCGGGAAAGGATTTGGAAAGTTTTGTGCTTGTTCTTGGCATCATCATGGACTGGGGGGTGGAGGGTGCTGACCAGGGAGAGAGAGAGAGAGATGGGGAGCTGGGGAGAGAAGGCACAAAGGTGGTGGGTGCTGAAGTTGTCAGTGAGACCCAGCCCCACCCTGCGGGGCCATCAAAGGGGCTCTGGATTCCCAGGAACCTTTCTTTTCCTGAGAAAAGATGTGAGCAGAGAACATGTGCTGTTGGTCCTACAGTAATTAGGGCTCTCTGGTTTCAAAGTGGTTTGCAAAGGGGATCTAAAGGGGATCGTAGGTGCTGGGCACATGTCTTGAGGAGATTGTCATCTCTCTGAACTATGCCGTCTTCTCGTTGCTGGTGTGACCGATTATAGCATTCCTTGAGGCTGATGGAATGCAGCCTCTCAGACAGCCTGCTGACAGCATGCTGGCGGCCCTGCTTGGCCCCGTTTCAAGGATTATCGAGCGCTGTGTGCACCGCAGGCACCTGAGGAGTGTATGTACACCATGTGATGCTGAAGCTGAGCTCAGTGTTGCTGATAGCTCCGATGGCCCTCTGGCTGCCCTCACACAGCCAAGGCGCAGATGCGTCCTACCATCCACCAGCTGATGGAACATTCCAGAGACCAATGCCTCCAGTCCCGGGGCTGTGCATTCACTCTGTGGGGAAGATCACCCCACCACCAAGAAGGCTCTCAAGAGGAACAGTGGGTATGGAAATGCCCCATGGCGAGCAGAAGGTCTGTCCACACTAAGCACGTGGACAGGTGTACAAATGAGGGAGAGGTAAGGTGTGACGTCAGCCAGGTGTGCCGGCCCCAGGGAAGGAGGCCCACTTGACTCAAGACGAACCTTTCTTCCCAGGGGACCGGTTCTGCCGCGTTCTCCAGGAGCCCCAGCGGTCCCTCCGCCTCCCTGCAGCAAAACCAGAGAGGTTTGTCAGTGAACTCCCCAACCGTCGGAGGAGAAGTGTCTCTCGATCCCTCAGCCCCCCCACCCCCTCCCCACCCACCTCTGTCCCTAAACTGAGATCAGAGCCACCAAGCGGCCACAGCCCATAATTCCCTAGCACATGGTCGGCGCTCATGGTGAAGACCCACAGAAGTAAACGTGGAAATCATACTTCAGCCTCCAGTGTAGGTACTGTGTAAATGTAAAGTATCAGCATGGCCGATGGCACCAGTTTACACAAACTAATTGCAACTGTTTATGGATGCGTTATATACAGATTGAAGGGATCAGGTCGTGGAGGAAAGCATCATACATGTCAAGCCGAGGGTCACCGGAAAGAAAGAAGACCGTGCCTGAGATGGATGGGCACAGTGGCTGCCACACCAGGCTCACAGATAACAGCGATGGGGAGGAGGGTGCAGGGTCAGGCGGGGTTTTCTTCTGTTGTGTATCGGACCACCCCGGGTTGAAACCAACTGAATGGTATCTAACCACAACTCCAGCCACACCGGCGTGCACAACCAGATGGCAAGCAGTCAGAGACGATGTGGTTTTGTGTCCCCTCTTTACACACACCCCACAATAAGCGCCTGACACATGCAGGTGCAAACAGGGCGGGGGGGAGCGGATTTCAACCCCTAATGAATGAACACAAGGGTGTCGCGTCTGGAAATGGCCCCCACACGTGTGCCACTGAGTCCATTCTGAAGCGGAGAGTCACGCGCAGTGCAGGGGTCATTGAACAGCGTCGCCCCTTGACCACCTAACATTTGGAATCGGGAGAAGTTTCCTGAAAGGATAACCCACACTCGAGGGAACGGCTTTCTGAAACCAAAACCCACTGCCCTCGAGGCCATGCCGACTAACAGCAACCCTAGAGGGCAGGGCAGGACTGACCCGCAGTCCCCAGACTGTCACCCTTTATGGGCTAGAAGCCCTGCCTTTCTCCCGAGGCGCACTGTTGCTGTTAGTTGTCCTCAAGCCGACTCCCACCCACAGCGACTGCATGACACCACCCAGTCCTGCACCGCCGGCACAATTGTTCTTAGGCTTCAGCCATCGCGGCCGCCACTGCGTCGGCCTATCTCACCGGGGGCCTTCCTGATTGGTGCTACCCCTCTACTGCAGCAAACATACGGTCTTTCTCCAGGGCCCGGTCCCTGGGGAGCAGCCGGAGGTTCCAAAGTGCTGACCTTGTGGTTCGCAGCCCAACGCCGAGCCACCTGGGATCCTGTCAAAGCTTGATCAGTAGGTACGTATCCAAGCTCAGGCGTGGGCGGGAGTTTCTGCACAAACGGCAGCCTTCACACCCCTGCTTGCTTCTGGGTTGGGATACTGCTGTGCATGTGTGTAGCCAAGGGCCAGGTTGTGGCCCATGAATTAGTCATTTCTATTCTGACTCCCTCGATGGGATTATATTCAACAGGAGGCGAGCCAGCAGGGCAGAGCAAAGGCAGCTGGTCCCCTACTCAGGAGGAACAAGAAGTTTCTGTTTACTCATCCCTAGTCGCTGAGATAGATGGTGATGTCTGGGGTCACCGAAAGTTTAAGCAGTATCTTCAATATTGAACTTGACAGCAACGGAGACTTTAACCACGTGCCTAACCGCAGCGGCCATCTCTGCAGAGCAAACATGGAACACTCTTTTCCGAATCCAGCCATTTGAGTACACTTTGATTTTATGCCTCCTGGGGTGGTGCACATGGTAACAAGCTCAGCCACTAACCAAAAGGTTGTTGGCTAGAGACCGCCCAGAGGCAGCAAGAAAGAAAAGCCTGGTGGTGATCAACTCCCCCAAAAAGCAGCCATTGAAAATCTTAGGGGGCACCAGCCTACTTGAGGGGACAGAGTTATCACGAGCCCCCGATGATTCTGCCGCAGCTGCTTTGATCAGGTTTGACACAATCTCAATCGACAGCTTCGGGCCTGAGACGGGTCCCCTCTCATCAATCACCCCACGGACTTAGATTTCAGGGAGCAACCATCTATTAATCCTGACTTCCCTACCACTTTCTCTGTGTGTGTGTGTGTGTGTGTGTGTGTGTGTGTGTGTGTGTGTGTGTGTCACGTACATTAGGACATCATGCTCAGTCAGCTAGAGGGGCAGTGAAAGAGGAGATGACCCTGGACAAGATGGGCTCCCACAGTGGGATCAAACATAACAAGAACCGTGAGGATGACACAAAGCCTAGCGGTGTGTCCTGCTGGGGTGCATAGGGTCCCTAGGGGTTGGAATCAACTCAATAGCGCCTAGCAACAACCTGTTAGGGACCTGTGGTAGTCACATAATCTGGTGTCAACTTGAGACTATTAAGAGTGAAGGGGTGGAGTTTAGCCTGTCAATCAGGTCACAGCGTGTTGACCTCATTTGAAGGTGCTACACAGACAAATATCTCACTGGAGACCAGCGCCACTCTGTGCTACACATTCCTTTTGACAAGCCACAAGGAGCTGTGCTGATGGAGCCAGAACCCTGGAGCTGGAGGAGTCACGTGGAGACCCACAACAGCGCTGAGATCCTTCCACCACCACCGGCCACCACTGGATCCACAAGACAGCTGTGATCTTCCACATTTGGTGTCGTTTGCATGTGTTTTGTGAGTCTGAAGAAGGACTTATTGACTGGTAGTGGCCATATGGGCTAATATCAGACTTATGGACTTGCTCTGGACTGGGCTGAGATCCTTTCTCAACATACAATTGTTCTTTTATAGAACGCTCTTTCTTGTACACATTTGCGGGTCCCTGGATTTGTTTCTCACATCCACGCAAACGAACACGGGTCCTTTCTGCGTTGTGCTTTGGTGCTTGGAAGCCCCTGAGCCACTGAGAAAAGAGCTGCTTTAGTTGTTGGGTGTAAAGTCCGTAGGGTGACTTAGCCGTTCACTGAGAGGACCAGGGTCTGCATCGCCCAAGGGTCTGTCTACAGTAGCATCCGCCAGAATAGTCGTGACTGTCCCAGAGAAGCACCTGTTCTTTCAGAGACGGGGAGGTGTGGGATGAGGCAGACTCACCCGAGGTCCAGGGATGCCTTGCTCACCAATCAGGCCTGGAGGACCGGTGGGACCAGGTGGGCCCTGGAGAGGTAAAAGGTCAATAACAGTGCTGAGTTCAGGTGACGCCGAGGCATCTATGCAATCTACAGAATATAACCTCATGTCTGCCGTCCAAACCCAGCAGAGACAGTTTCTTCTGCCTTAGCTGCCATCCTGCAATCACAACAGCCTCCCTTCGTAACATGAGTGGGGGTGTTTGATGTCTGCATGGAAAAGACCTTCAAACTAATATTTGCATATGAATATCCACAGGGACACTATCCATAACAACCCCAAAGTTGAAGCCATCCAGGTGCCCATCAACAGTTGGCTAAGCACAATGCACTCTACCCACACAAAGGAGGGTCATTCATCAAAAGACATGAAGGTGGTAACCTGGGTGGACCTTGAAAACACAGGGGAGTTAAAAGATGCCAGGCAGGAGACTCGGTCACCTATTGCGTGGTTTCATTCCTATGAAATACCTGGACTAGGTAAGTCCACAGAAACAGAAAGAGATTGGTGATTTCCAGGCACTGTGGGATGGAAGAGTGGGGAGTGACTGCTTAATAGCTACGGGGTCTTCGTATCTTGAAAGTTGGTAGAGGTGGTGGTTATACAACACGGTCAATGTACAGATGCCGCTGAGCTGAACACACGACAACAGCTCATGCTATGGTCTATGCATTTTACCACCATTTTAAAAACACAAGAGCATTTGGGAAGATATCAGAAGGCATGCAGGTACATGAGAGGGTACTGACCTGTGAACCTCTGGTCCCCTGTTCTCCCGCAAAGCCAGCCTGCCCAGGGTTGCCCCTGCTGCCCTGAAAACAGATGGAGATTTAGGATGGTCAGGATGGTTTACTCCAGTCCCAAGTCTTTGTCCCACAATCAATTCTGAGAAAGGAGATGGGGTGCAGAGAGAGACTGCTGGCAGCATGGCTGCTACATTGGGGGGTTATAGTTGTTCCTCCCTCGTTTTCTCAAGACAGTTTCATGAGAGAAGGGTCGTTTCCGTCTGAGGTGAGAAGAGTGAGAAACCTGAAGTGGTCATCAGACAAGGGGTGCTTTATAGCTGAGACGAGAGCCTAGGTCCTGGGTCATGCTCCCTTATTCGCCACCCTCTTCCACTCTCAGTCAGGTGCCCGGTCTTCGGAGAGGATGCTCATTGAGAGGCAATGATTGGAAAGAGAGTGGAGCTACAGAGCCGTGGCCCCTTCAAGGGTGAGTACACTTTATTCCTTGTCTTGGTCGTGCCTGGGCCGTAGAGGAGCAGGGTCTTCCGAGCACGGGGTGGGTTAAGTAGTGACTACAGCAGGAAGCGCCCGCCTTCAAGGCTTACCTTAGCTCCCGGAGCTCCCCGTCTTCCAAAGCCACCCTGCAGAAAAATCACACAGCCTGTGAGGAGGGGTCTCACCGACGTCAAGGGAAGTCAGGCAGGTTGTGAAGGAAAGTCACACCGGCAACGAGGGGCAAAGCCGCACAAACCAAGAAGTCACACAGGCCATGGGAGGAAGTCACACAGGTTGTGAGGGGGAAGTCACACCAACTGTGAGAGCAAAGTCACACAGACTTCGAGAGGAAGCCAGGCAAACTATGAAGGAAAGTCACACAGACTCAGGAGAGACGTCACACAGGCTCTGAGGAGAGAGGTCACACAGGCTCTGAGGAGAGACGTCACACAGGCTCTGAGGAGAGACGTCACACAGACTCAGGAGAGACATCACACAGGCTCTGAGGAGAGACGTCACACAGGCTCTGAGGAGAGACATCACACAGGCTCTGAGGCGAGAACTCACACAGGCTGTGAGGAGGCAAGCGGGAACACTTGTTTCTGAGACTTCTGCCATTATTTGCCCTTCTCTCAGAGGATGGTTCTGGCCACCTGCAGAGTGCCAGGGGCGCTCTGCAGGCAGCAGGGGAAACACTCAGACAAAGAGCCCCCTCCTCCATCCTCCATCTTGGAAAGTTTTACTCCCGTGCTGCCCATGCCAACCATCCAAATGGACATTTAGTTTTACGTTATTTCAGACTTTCCGGGCAAAATAATGGCTCTGGCTGCACAGTCCACCCCCAATCTCAAACAAGGAATGGGCAGTAGAATTCCAAGCTGTCTGGTTTTGCTTCCGTCCCGCTGCCTTGAGAAGTCATGACATTTGTTCATTGTGATAGAAGGGAGCCCCAGATTCCCCAAGCTGTCTGGGCCAAATGCGACCCCCGCTCAGTGGAGTGAAGGAGCAAAGTGCACACATGTGGACCAGGGGTGCAGGTGGCCCCAGGACTTGGCAGCCTCTCCCTCCTGGGTCTTCTTCCAAGGTGGCTCTTAGCTTCTATCAAGTCAGGCCCAGCCCACAGCCACCCAGTGTGCG